GAGTGCAAAGAAAGAGCAACGTTGGTTTTTGAAAAATAACAGAGCTACTAATCTTGAAGAGTTGCTTAATTGATTAGGTTTTAAGTTTGCTCCCCAATGATCATTAGTTCGAATCTCCTCAGAGTCACTGAGGTGAGTATCCGACTATAAACTTCAGGGCTATGTGGGATTAGTCGAAGTACGAGCAGTTGACCCGAACATCCACAGTTATAAAAAAATTAATAATAATAACAGAGCTACTAAAAAGCTGAAAATATGAAAACTTCATTTTGGATTTAAGTGGAATAGATTCAATTGAATTTTGAATTGATGTACATTTTTTAATTGAAATTTAAATTACTACAATGTGGAATATTTATTAATATGGGAAATAAAAAATAAAAAAAAAATTAAAGAGGAGCATATGATCTAACCATTGTGGGTTTTATTTCAAGTTGACGAATCGATAAAAAGTACTATAATAATGAATAGAGGGTTGAACACAGAAGGAGTAATATCTATCTATTTTACGAATATTTACAATCAATAGATAATAAGTCTAAAAACATGTTAATTTTACTAATACTTAAAAATTTACAAAAAATAAAAAAAAAATCCATTTATATGTAAATCACAAATGAATAAAAGATAATTAAATTGAACAATAAAATCATTGATTTCGAAGAAATATTAGAAAGAATTTTAAAAAAGAATAATGCTCCTTGAACAAGGGCTTTTGATCGGGATGGGGTGATGCCGTGATGGGGTAGGGTGACAGCGTTTATTTGTTTTTTCAAATTATCTAAACATGTGTTGACACGTGTTCTTTGTTTTTTAATATATCATTGAGCATATCGATGTAATTAATGTTATTTATCACAATTTGTGCTTAGCGCCGGTTTAAGTGACAATTACATGTCATTAAAAGATATATTTATCACAACTTGTGCTTAGCACCGGTTTAAGCCCTTGTTTGACACCAATTTTGTTTGAAAAATAATTTTTGGAATAGTGATTGATAGAAGATTGTGTAATTAAAAAGTTTGGAGAATTTTTGGGTTTATGTGTAATATTATTTTATTAATAGAATTAGTGGTTGAAATGAAGAAAGGGAAATAGAATGAGAAAAAAATGGGTTTCAAACATGCGCTTATTTAGGGTGTGTTTGATCCACATTATTTGAAAGAATGTATTCTGGAATAGTAGATTGATGAAGAATTTGTGGTTGAAAAAGAATGANCATTATTTTGGAAGAATGTATTTTGGAATAATAGATTGATGGGGAATGTGTGGTTGAAAAAGAAGGAAAAGTTATTGATGTGATGGAAAATATTATTTTATTGAAGAATGTGTGGTTGAAAATGAGTAGGAGAATGTAAATGAAAATTTTAATGTGTACCAAACAGGGACTTAAATGTAAAATCAAAATATCCATTTAATTGCCCATATAGACCGTGATCATCTCGATCGATGTACTAGCACTAGTAAGACGGTATTATTCTACATAAAAATACTAATGACTAGCAATAGAAAAGTTTTCACTCGATTGGAATCCGTCTCGAACTCCAATGCATCCGAGTACTAGATGGTATTTGATTGCAGCAGCTGTTTTCCCATCCCAAAGGTCCACTGGAAATACCATCGCAAGAATTAGGCTGGCGGTGGACAAATAATCACGTTACGTACAAAATTGGACAAAAGCATAATAACATCATAGTACAAGGTGATAATGTCATAGATTCAATTAGGACCATCCTACATATACACTTTTGTGTACATCTTTCTTTACACTTTGCCCCGTGATATCATCATTCCTTTTGATTTCCCTAACAATCTTGGACTCTGCTACCGGTACATCAAGGTGTACACAAGGGGTTACACCCTTCTCACATGGAGGTGAGACCCACTTAAATAAAAAAATATTATTCAAGTGGGTCCCACCCCCCATGTGAGGGGGGTGTAATCCATTGTGTACATCTTTTGATGTACAAGTAGATAATTCCAACAATCTTTCTATTACCTTTGTAGATTATACCACATAAGAGGAATGTAAGGTAAGATGTACACAAAAATATATATATCTAGTATAATTGATTCAAATAAATGTACAATTATGTGAATCAATTTAGGACCATATTATATGTATATAAAAATTGACATATTGATTTACACTCATATGAGTTGACAAATTTTGATACATTGATCTCGACGATTTTGGTAGATTGATATTGACAATATATTTTCCAATCAACGGTCAGATTTTTGACATTTAAAGGAGTGTCAATTAAGATGTACACTTTGTGTGAACAAGTAATTTAATCCATCAATGTTACTTCCACCCTATTTGATTTACATTTTTATAAAAATTCATTTTTTCAACTACACATTTTTCAATAAAATAATATTACACACAAATTCAAAACGTTTCATTATTTTTTGACCACACATTTTCCATCAAATCATTATTTAAAATGAGTTCTCTATTCAATAATGTGCATCAAACATGCTATTAATGTATCATAATATAATAGCTTTACTCTAGACAAATATTACCATATTCGTATACATCATACAACATGAGTGCTTCGATAAGTCTCATGAATGTGTAATTAATAAATAAGAAGTAATTTAAAAGTGTAATTGTAATTAATGTTTGATTTTGATGGAATGAAAATTTTACTAACTTTTATTGTTTGAAGAATGGAGGCAATATAAATTACGAAGTGAGCAATAATTTCAATCAAGGTTACTAAATTATAAGTTTGTTTCGTATCAGTCATTCAACTTCAATCTATCTCAATTTGATCCCTCCCATCTTATGTTTTTTGTTTCAGTTTTGATCACTTTGTTTGTGTTTGTAAATTAAACAAAATTAATTGTCAGTCTCAAGCGGCTAATGCTATGCATAACATGACACTTATTCAGTTATTTGAGTTCTCATTTTTGGCAAAACCACTTATTTAATGTCACATAAGTGTTAGATCGTACATGTAATCAGCTCGAACTAAACTAACAATATAAGTTGATAGACGTTATCATAAAAGTAGATTAAAATTAATACAGCGTGCTTTGGGGGTGCTTAAAACGTGCTTAACATCCAAACATGCTCTTAAATCAAAATGAAGTAAACTTGTAAATTTTAGGGCGGACAATGTCCAGTTTTTTAATAGAATCAAACCAAATCGAGAATCAATGAAAATTAGTGAATGGCATAGTTGGTTCCAATTCTAATTATGAGACTGAACCTTCGATTTCATGATTATAAAATCCATTTTAATTCTTGAACAAGTATAATTTTCGAAAGAATTTCAGTATCATCTAATACTTCTCACAAAAAGAAGAGTAGACACAAATTATTTTAAATAAGGTAATACTTCAATATGATTGATGCAATATTTTTAAAAAATTAAAGTTTGTCTCATTTTGAATTTGTAGTTCCAAATACTAAAATTGAGGATCAAATTGAATCGTTCAATCTTGAATCTAGTACTTGAATATCTATTTTCAAATACTAAGGGCATACTTGATGTAAATTTTTAAAAATAAATTTTGTGAAAAATGATATTTTTGGAAAATGTGTGATTGAAAAATATGAAACGCTTGTGGATTTATATGTAAAATTATTTTATTGAAAAATATGAAATTAAAAGTAAATTTAAAAATCTATACTATAATGTGATAAAATCAAGAATGCTCATTGTACAATATTGTGTTACAACATCTCACAATGGAGGTGAGGCCTACTATTATTTTAATCGCGGGACACACCTCCCTTGTGAGAGGTTGTAACCCAATATTGTAACCAGTGTTCTAAAAGGCACGCCAGACTGCTGCCTAGGCGTGAGGCGAGGCCAAAATGTCAAGCCTAATTGGTTAGCGTCTTATTTAGCAGTCAACGACAGTTGTTGACAGCTAATGGGCGTCTAGGCACGTTTTTTTTTTTTTACAATT